TTTACCTTTAAAAAAGATCTCCATTTCATTTTAAAATATACTGTTTCTTACAGAAAGACTCATTATTTTTGCTAATAACACTGAGATGTTGGTGCATGCGTCTCTAATCTGTATGTATCTGATTATTACTAGTCATAATAATTTGCATGTGGATCCTTGGTGCCTCTGTATGTCTATAAAGTCATCGGGTAGATTTCAATGGTAATGTTCAGGTAATGTTTTTCACCTCTACTAATTAACATGAAGTAAAATTTTATGCTTCCTCCTCAAATGTCCTTTTCTTTTAATTAGTTGATTTTTTTTGTGTGTATATTATACAGAACATCCCACACAATCTTATTCATCTATATACCCACTTCCCAAATGGCACCCTCCCATAGCCCCCCCCACTGGAGCCCAAATACTCTGTTATCCCTGTTACTGTCCACTGTGTTCTCGGTGCCCCCAGGCGTTCCCCAGTGCTTGTCCATCTGCTGAATCTAGTCAGCCTATCTGGAAATCCTTGTTTTAGGAAGATCAGCTGCTCCTCATCTAGCAGCAATCAGTTGTCGATATTCCTTTAGATAAGACCGGGGTCTGTTGTTCATTTTCCCAGTTCTATGCTGGGTTACTGTCTGGGAGTCTTTTGGGCCACCCTGGTCAATAACTCAAAGGAAGGTATCTCCTGTCTGGCATTATTTCTTGTTATATAGCCTTTAGCTATACATATGGACTCTTAAAAAATTATATTGACCCCATTAATCTTTGGTTATATTTTCCTTTTGCGTGTTGAAGACCCTACAATTGGCCCAGATAAGCCAATTTATTTTTACTCTTAAGGCCGTGTTCCTCAGGGGTCACATGGGCTTGGGAGGAGTCCTTGGCTCCTTTCTTTAACCAGTTCCGTCTATGTGAAGATAAGTCAAAGGTCCTGCTCTACCATGGCTGGCTCTGCTTGGAAGCATGGAGGAAATGTTTCCTCTGTGTTGACCTTCCTCTTTGTAGACTGGACACTGGTTCAGATCCATCTGGTAGGGTCTCCACAGCCTTATTGATCAAGAGGACAGGTGATTCACCACAGTTACAGGACATTTTGAGAGATGCTCCTAGTCCCCTGGAACTTAGTCGACCTAGGAGAGAAAGGAGCAAAACCTGTCCTTTATGTCCCTCTGTCCAAATTAGTATAGGCCTCATAGTATGGCTGTTAAACATCCAAGAAGGTTAGTTCCACCAGTCTGGTACTTTTAATTACCATGTGCCATGCAGATTAATCTTGGGTAATGACCAGTTGGTCTCAAATAAACCTTATCTAGAGAAATATTTCTTGATCTGTTATGTATAAGATGTATAATTTGTCAGTAGGTTGTTGGACTAATATGGTTCCCTCTGGTTTTTTAAAACTAGCTAGGCGTGGGGCTGCAGAGATGGCTCAGTGGTTAAGAATACTGATTGTTCTTACAGAAGACCCGGGTTTCAATCCCAGCACCCACATGCAGCTAACAACTGTCCATAACTCCAGTTCCAGGGGATCCAACAGCCTCTTCTGTCCTCCGCAGGCATTGCATGACATGGGTGCACTTACCTACGTGCAGGCATAACACATACACATAAAATAAAAATAATAAATAAAATATTTTTTAAAACATTAAAAAAAAACCTAGGCATTATTTATCTCTCACATTGTCTAACCCTTCCGCCATGGTTTCCCCATTTAAGGTGCCCCCATTTTCCCATTTCTCCCTTAATCATACCCTTCTATGGTCCTACCTCTCTTGAGCTCCTTCTTACCCTTTATCCCCTAGGTTCCTTGTATAACCTTCCGTTTCCCACCCCCCTTAAAATAACCCCACTTCTATCCATATCTCCCTTACTAATACCTGTTCCCTACTGATTTTTCTTTTCCTTTACCTCCCTGGTTCCTTTTCATTATCCTGGTTCCTATAGTTATGTCTGGATACATACTCGCTTATAAGGATTTGTTGCTAGGATGCACATATGAGGGAGAACAGCCATCGTTTTTTTTTTTTTCTGAGATTGTGTTACTTCACTTAGTATAACAGTTTCTAGTTCCATCCATTTACCTGCAATTTTCATGATTTCATCTTTATTGCTGAGTAAAACTCCATCATATAAATGAACCACATTTTCATTATCCACTCATCAATTGAGGGACACGGTTGCTTCCATCTCTTAGCTACTGTGAAAAGAACAGCAACAAACATGGATGTATGAGTGTCTCTGCAATAGGATGAATTCTTTGGGTATATGCCAAGCAGTGGTATAGCTGGGTCAAATGGTAGGTTCATTTGTAGTTTTTTAAGAGTTCTCCATACTGCTTTCCATAGGGGTTGAACAAGTTTGTAGTCTTACCAGCAGTGGATGAACGTTCCCCTTTCCCCACATCCTCTCCAACATTTGG